AAAAATGATCCCAAGACCTGTAAGCTCAAAATTCAGGTTTTCCAGAATCCCATTATGAAAGTCAAAATGAAAGAAAACTGATATTATCATTGGATTCGGCATGGTGCATAACCTCTAGGTCCTGACTACGTTCAGTTTTGTATGAGCTGGAGGTTTTTTTCTCTTATTACAATTACTCTAATTGACAATTATCTCTCATTATTGCTTGTTTTAGGTAATGAAAAGTATGGTTCACGTAAACCGACTATACCGAGATCAATTATGAACGATATTGATGAGCGTGCGAAAACAACAACAGCATCGAACTTGTATCGAGAATTAGTAACAAATCCTCAATTATCGTACTTAATCAAAAATAAACAACAAATAGCAGACAGACGAAAAGCCATCTTACGATCCACACGCGTTTCTCGAGATGAAATTTTTAACATTTTTGAATTACATTTGAACAATCCAATTTATATTAAATATTACACATTAGTACCATATTTAAACGTCGTCTGTTTAGATGATGAAAGCGTACTCATATTCAAAAAGTTATTGAAACAATCGAAATCATTGGTGGTATTGTCATATGATACTACATTTCAATTGACCGACGCTTATGTTTCCGGATTAGTTTATAGAAATAGCATGTTTGTCGATCGTCCAGCAATACTACTTGGGTGCGTATTGGTGACTGACGATGAAACAGCGTTTCAAAATTCTTTCAGAAAGTTTTTTCCTCATCTACGATTGTTTCAATGTTGGAATCATAAAATGAAAAATATACGTCGTTCAATGTATAAAGCACACAAAAAGAAACAAGAAAAGAAAAGTGATGATAATGTTGTTGAACTAATTGTCGATCCAATTGTACAATTAAATACGATTAATGATGAACATTTGTCCGATGCTGAATCAAGTGATGAATTAACAGACGTTGAGGATGAAATTGCGGGGGACGAAATAACAACAACAACATCAATCAAAGAAACATTGACGGAAAAAGCCTCACGCTATCTGACGTCAAATCATTATTCTCAAATGATTCTTTACTTTCATTTGAAGCTGAATTGGGTATTAAGAAAAAACAGTGGGACAAACCGTTTATTCGTTATTTCGATAATAGAATTTTACCAAAAATTGAGCAGTTTAGTAAGTATGAGTTGTAAAATGGTGTTTTAAACGGATGACAGTGGTTACTTTGTTTCTTTTACTGGTATCTTCAAAAAGCATAGTACCTTCCAACATAACAATTTGCGTACAGAAATATTGTAATCCAAGTTAAATTCATTTTAAATTCGAAACTTCACTTTCTAACAGTCATTGCACGAGTGGGCCAGCCTTTTTGCGTACCAGTTGCTCAATCGATGTTTGAATTTGGGCTCAGGATTTTATCGTAGGTAGAGGCAACATATATAGGAAGATTCCCAAACTTTTTTCATTCGGACTTACTTCGTTAAAAAGTTATAGGGCTTAAAAAATAGCCTAAAATGATACTTGTATAAAAGTCAAATTTGTGATGTTTATATCTTGGTCTAGGAAGTTGATTAAGAGCTCATATTTGCAGCATAAGTAGTCGAGGTCGAATACTATCTATAACCAAGAGCATATGCAAAAATAAGTTTTACGTATGTGCACAAGATGGTAGAATTTTGCTGAGACAAACAGTTTTGCATAATTTTTTTAACCTAAAAACTTTGCTATTGCATTGAGTGTTACTTCTATCCATTGTATAAGTATACCTCTACTATGAATTAAGAAATCGATCCATACAAGTCTCTTGGTTGATGCACGGCTGAGCTCGAAAGTCGATAGAAAACGAAAAATAGCCTACTTTGCAGTTCGATTTTCTCGTCCGATTGATGAATCTGAAAAATATGACATGATGATTAGTTATTCGTGGAACGAAAAAGAATTGATTTATAAAATACACGAACGATTAGTCAAAGATGGATATAGAATATGACTTGATAAAGATAATATGTATGGTTCAATCATTCTATGGATGGCGGAGGCCATTGAAAATTCTGACTTTATTTTGATGAGTATGCCGAGTGCCTATAAAAAATCGCCAAATTGTCAGGCAGAAGCGGAATATGCTTATAATCGAAAGCGACGTATTATTCCACTGATTACCGAAGAAAACTACAGAGCAAATGGATGATTAGGAGTTATCCCCGGTTCAGAAATGTATGTTGATTTCCAACAAGGTGGCTTTGATGGCGTACATGATCTTTTAATCAAAGAAATCAAGGAAAAAGTGTTCCGCCGAAAGAGCGAAGCAAACCGCCAGTTGAAGAACCAAAAGAGAAAAAAGCTAACGTGTTTGTTTAACAGTGTTTTCACAACACATTTCTTGAGTCTACCGATGATAAACATTATGGCTCTGGTTCGTTCATAAATCTTGTTTTCAATTCCAGGCATGTTAAGTAAGTGTAGGTGGCACACAAAATGTAACGGCTTTATATCAATCACGACTATTCTGAGAATTTGTGATGTCATCTGCTCATCATTTCAGAGTGCTTTTATGTAGTAAGATTTTTAGTTTGTCAATATTCATCTAATGTAAGAGAATCGCACAATTCCTCATCCTGACAGTCAGGCAATACCAGAACTTTCCGACATATCAGACGCATTCACGGAAGTGATTTATGAAGAGCAAACTACTGTCTTGGGAAAATCCTCTTTTCCTTCAGCAGTTGGTGAGACAGTGGCAGCAAGAGTAGTGGAAGATCAAGAACATGTTGAAGCGTCAAAAGGAGATATGGAGGGGATGATAATACCCAGACAGAATTTATGGATTGAAGTTGACTTATCTCAAATAGAGACCTGCACGGGTTCCCGAACCCGACCGACTATCAGAATACTGGCGCTAGCCCGACCCGACGGCATCTGAACCCCAACCCTAGGTCTCTACTGCACTTGTTAGGTCTCTGCTGTACGGCTAGACGAATCTACCAAGGAAAAATCGCCATTGCATCGTACTTGTGTCTTCATGGCTTTTTCAGTACACTGCGTGACTAAGACGAAAAAGAGAAAAGAAAACGTACGTTTTTCTTAGTTTCTTAGGCTTGTTTGATGAAGCTAAGTGTTGATCAAAAACAGGAAAATTTTTGAACTTCTGATTGGTCAATCCGTCATTTTGTCTACAAGGTTAATCTGTTGAAAAATCCTCCTCAGTACACTTTTTCAATAGATTATCTAAACTGAGATGATGACTACATCCCTTTTCTCATTGGTCAGCCTATATCACCTAATAATAGAATAGCAAGTAGAGAGCATTATAGCATGGGTATGGATGTTTAAAACAGAATATTGAAAAAGCAGTATAAAAAGCAGTGAGGGATGTATTGCCATTGATTTCAGTGCAGGAAGCATTCTCTTATGTCCATAGAAAGCAATCATTAATCGACTTAGTGGATGCAGTTGTTCTGGAACAAGTATTTCAACTAGAAATTCCAGTGCAGATAACTTAACGAGTAATACAAAACTGAAATTATTATCGATATTTTAAATTATGCCGCAAAATGTTCAACCCGAACCCGACCCGATCCGACAGCATCTGAACCCGAACCCGACCCGACACTAGGGTCGGTCGGGTTGCAGGTCTGTAACCTCGAACTCGGGGTTATGTTGATATTGAAGATGTGAAGAACAGGTCCGAGGAGAACGTTTTGGGATTTTTAAATGATTTCAAACTGGGTGAAATGGCATCACTGTGCCATTCAATGGATGGTTGTGGTTTGATTGAATTGTATAGAGCATGTGTCTCGTCATCAGAATCAATGTATAAATTATTAAACACGCAATTTGTTGAAGGACATTACCAATAGCTGTTTACTTTAAACTGTGAGCTATTATGGTTAGATAAGCAGAGAGTTATAAGAAATGAGGAAGAACAGAAAAAATAATTATTCGGTTTAAAAGCAAGCTTATTAACGTACTGAGCATATATAATTTTTAAAGTGAAAGATACTGAATACATGTGAGTCTATTTTTATTTTTTCTAAGTAAAGACTTAGTGAGACTCGGTCGGCTACAAAATGTTTTCTACCGGCTAATTTTAATCAGCGAAATCTATTGAACTCTCTAGTTTTACAAGTTATTTTCCGTTTTTTTTGTTCTAGGATAATCGGATAAGTCGAACTAGGTATGAGATAAACCAAATTGTTTGAGTCAAACGCCGTACATTTATTTGGTTTGTCTTGTATCTAAGTCTAGCATTGTAATAATGCAAGCCTAGTTATACTGGACACTCTTTATATTATGGCTGTTCCAGCTAGCGTAAGCCTCTAATAAGCGAAAGGTTTTCGCCCATCGCTCTGGCGCAAAAGCCAGAATAACCTTTATTACAAAATATGCAGGCGTTGAATTAGTGAAGCATCCGGAGTAATTAGCAGCAAAAAGAAGAAAAACAATAATATTTTCCGGACACAGTTCAATGACTCACGAAGTTTCAAACGCCAAATAAGGAAGAGAGATGGACCAAATGCTTATCATTTTTCTCATCGAGCTCAACTTTCGTAACTTTGAACGTAAATCCAGCGGAGAGTAGCACTTCTTCTTCGTAAGGATAAAACGATAGTGAAGATACGTCACTTGCATGGTGTGACAAAGATTCACCGTTGATCTCAATAATAAATAATGTGCTATGATTCAATCTTTCTACTAGACATCGGCTTTTTGTAGTCGATATCAGGCTTAACCATCGTAAATTCGTGCCTATAGCTTCCCTATATCTATCGATCGCCCCCTTTGCCAAATTTGCACCGCGATAGACAGTAATAACGCCTTCAACTTGGGAATTACGTAGATGTGCATGTAATAGATAACAGAAAGGACCAAGCGTGTCAATTTTGTTTTCATGTGTTCCGTGTCTTAAAGCATCGTTCACAGCCGTAAACAAAAAAGCGTCAACAGTAAACATTCGCGCACAACATTGCGTAATTTCTTTGCCACTCCCAGCTTTTACATGTTCTAGGTGTTTAATTATGTATTGACCTTCAGCTTCTTTACCATGCAATTTGGCTTCCACTTTTATACCTAGAAATATACGAAATTTAATATAAAAATTTAACCATTGGTAGTATCGACCATGGTACTTCACAAATAACTCAGCCTTAACTCAAAAGTCATTAGAAGCAATCTTACTCACCTGCGACAGTTGGAGCGATAATTGCAGAGAACTTTAACTGGTTAATTAGATCTTGATTGCTTTCCCTCCACCTCTCCACCAGACTACAAGCAGACTCTCCATTATCAAGAAAAGAATAATGTCTGCCATTATCTGAAGTCACCACTGTCGGTTCTTCGGAAGAACAAAACCTGTGTTCTCTTAAACATGGGCCTAAATACACTTCGTCGCGTTTCACTCGTCTTTGTTTGTGTGAATCATCGCGTCGAAACTGTATTTTTTGTTTAAAATCAATTATATATTGGCCCAAATCCACATGAGAATGTTGTTTTTGTTTATGTTCTTCTTCAATTAGACGTTGTTCCAGATCTGGATATCGTGTCCACTGTTTTTTCTCGAAAACGTTCCAAGGATTTTTATTCGATTGCCACGACCATTGCACGACCTTGTATGAAAGGGAGTCGGATGACATCATAATTACAAATGATTCTTGTATTATAACTCTTCAGTGAACAAAAATTATTTTCAACATGAATGAAGTAATTTTCTCTTCCGTTTCATTTAAAAAAAACATCAAACGGGTAAGTACCAAGATTACTAACGCATGAAAAGAAAAAAATGGGGTAATAAAAAGGTAAGATTGAAAAAACCAGTTAGATGTTTATTTACCTTTTATCTTTTCTAAGAAAACAGGTAAAGATAAGAAGAGCATGTTTCTATCTCACATAGACACTTCACACCTCACTTGAGGAAGTTGGATAATAAGTAACTTTTTATGGGTGTAACAGATTCAAAAGTTATCTGGAGTTGGCAATCGAATGCAAATCCGTGGAATATTCTACAGAAGCGGGTATGGACACGCTATTCAGACGAAGAAATAAAAATAATTGAAGAAGCATATCAAAATAAACAAGCGCAGATTCCGGTAGATGGCACTTATTTCATCGATCTGAATCGTAAGCTACAAATTCGACGAGATGATCATAGTAAACAACGGCGTGTAAAAAGAGAACTTATAAACAATACGAAATACCAAAGACATATGCGGTTCAATTCCATACAGGATCCAAAATCTTTTGTTACTCACTACAGAGATGGATCTGTATTTATTGCTTCATGGGAAAATCAAAATAAGAGAATACTTCACAGATTGCCGGATATCGTCCAACAAGTAATTGATGGTAGGTTTTCAAAAATCTTGATCAATTTACAGGCAGTGCGTCTATAACTCCACAGCGAACTGTCGATAGTTGTTTTTTTTAAATAAATTTTTAGTTGAAAAATCTATGCCTCTAGATTCGAAAAGTAGGGGAATTTTGTTACAAGCTAATGAAGGAACAATAGTTTTTTGAAAATTGAATATTTTGCGACTACAAAAGGTTAAACAATTAGCCTATCGCCCAATAAAAAGACTTGATTTTTTTCCACCAATTAAAATGCCGTTCTGAGTAGCAGTAGCACCTAGTCTAATGGCATGTCCGGGATCAAGATGATCAGAAAATCTCAACAAAAAATCTTTCGTTCATGGGCTTTTGCCTCTGACTGATCACTTTTGCAGGACACAAAAATCTGCTTTCAGGAGAAATTTGAACGTAACAAACAATCAGTAAAGACACCTGGGAAGACCTCCAACCATCAGATTTTTTGAGTTTTTAGTCACGCTATAGAAAGCCAAGGCAAAAGAAGAATATGTGAAGTTTAATTTCACCTACTTTTGTCTCTCACTTAACTCTCTGAAATATTTTTTTCCCAAGATAAATTTAGGAGGATCTGTTTTTCTGCGATTTTTATCTGGATACAAAGACCTTATAACCTTTTCTTTTGATTCCAAAAATGTACGAAATTAAACTTCGTAGTTTTCATTCTCATGCGTTGTCTTTCTAGAGCGTGGCCAAAAAAACTGAAAAAATCTGATTGCTGAAGGTCTTTCAAGGGGGATTGAGTGATTGTTTGATACGTTCATATTTTTCCTGAAAGCAGATTGGTATGTCCTACAAAGATGCTCAGTTAAAGACAAATGCCGATGAAAGTAAGGTTTTTTTCGGGATTCTTAAGTTCGAGATTTCGAGACCATTTCGATCTCCACATGACTACTTGAGTCGTTTCCAAAATTTCGCTTTCTCCGAAAACTCGACTTTTCAGCCACAGCACATCGAGACAGCAGCGTGAAGTGGCCTGAGTTGATCATCATAATATTCAACTTCTAGATCCAAATAATGTACGTTCGCAGAAAAATGAATGTTTCCTTTGTACGACAAAAAGAGAAACTCAACTCAGCACACCGAAATAGTTTCTCCCAGATGCTTTTTAGAGCAAGAAGACGACTTTTGCGAAAACCTTTTTCTGTTTTGAAAACGATCCTATGTCCTTAAGAACACAGAACTTGATTGCGCTTAGAGGCCATAAAAAGCGAACGTTGTGCTCTAGAAAACTGTTGGAAAAAAACAAAAACATATATCTTTTGTGAAAGCGTTAGTCACAGTTGGAGTCAAAAACCATCAACAAATTCTTGCGTTTTTTCATGAGTTTGCAGTAAAACTTGTCCGCGTGTTCTATATAAAATCCACGGGTTACCGAAATTTCTTTTTATTCAGAAAATAATTGACGATTTGTACCAAAAGTATTGTTTCTCCGACCTAGGTATTTTGGAAGAGGGTGATTTACAAGGTCGACCAAATGAAGCTAAAAATCTGGTTCGAAGCCTTCAAGAATTAAAATCTTCAAAAGATATTAACATGATTCGACAACGTTGTGTGTATATTTACACGAGCAACTCATTCATGTGTTCGCTGGTGAATGAAACCCTGCTGAATGGAGATATGACTAAAGTCGATACACTGAGAGCCTACTGCTACTTCATCTCGAATCATTTATGGAACTATCAGTTAACTGAAGATTTGACTGTCTACCGTGGCTGCCACTTGACACCTACCATGATCGAAGAATATCGGCGAGCTATCAAAGGAGATAAACTGAAATGGTTGCCTTTCACTTCTACAACAAAAAGTCGTAGGGTGGCCGAAAGATTTGCAGGGAATACTTTATTTATCATGAATATTAAAAAGGGTGTCTCTGGATATAGTGCTCATGCCGATATATGCGGTCTTTCGAAGTACATGAACGAGGAAGAAGTACTTCTGAATGCAGGCTATTCGTTTAAAGTAATTGACGTTGTACCTGATGTAAAGAGTGGAAAGTATCACATTTTTGTACAAGGTGGTATCTAGTGTCTGTTAGTCGGAAAGGTACCTATTAACGATGTCGCGTATAATTTGTAAGGAAAGAATTGAGGAAATATTTTCCTGTACATCTTTATGGACAAATGCATATATTCATTTATAGAGAAAAATTTTTCTCCATGCTTTTGTTTTAATTTTGTAGGACATCATTAACAGATATCAACGAACTGTTCTATTCCTATACCCACTGCTTTCACCATGTTGCAAAATTTATGGAAGAACGAATGGCTTTGTGAGCTTTTTTTAGTGGTAAATACTAGCATACACAACAAACATGCCTCACAGGGTGCAATTTTTGACAGACACATAGATATCTGCCTTTAAAGCAACCGCCTCAACTCACAACATTAGTTTGTTTAGTCTTCCCTGTTGTGCTCTTTTTGAGGTTGGTCAAAGAAAAAAAAACGCAAAGCTGATTTTGGTGGACGTTTCAGAGATCAGGCCTCTACCGGATATACATTTTTCACTATTTTCATAATTGTATCCTGTAATCTGGCATCGTTAAAAGCAGCTAGGAAACTGGTGTTCATTGTTTTCCGCCCTTTGAATAATCATAAACAAACTAAGTTTCGAATTTAAAGTAAAACTTTGACGAAATAACTGCTTCTGAAAATAGAACAGTCGCATCAAATATAGCCTGCATAACGGTCTCTCCTTTTTGGTTCAAAATGTAACACCTTCTTGTATGCTTTGAATAACTTTTTTTACTGACGCGAGCTAGCGATTTTCAGCTTTCACCGTTAGGAAGAGAATAGTCTCTGAAGTGTCTATGTAAAGATTAAAATTCTCTTGACTTCTTTTTTGTGTAATCACAATTGGAAAAAACTTGTGAAAGTCAGCTTGTTTTCAAAAAAAGGATTTTACTCTTTTCAGACTGTCATATGATTCAACTCTGAAAAGATGTCCAAGCAATCGAAAAAATTTCACGTCCTCGTCGAGATACAAGCGCTTTAAAAGTGGACAGTTTTCCAAGCCCTTCGAATTTTTGGCCTTACCATGCCCATCATTGTGATGACGATGTTTTTCATTCAAAAAGTGCGAGTAAATCACGTTTTTCAGAAAGTCTCTTAACTGATAGCGGGCGACAAAAGCACGTTTTTCTGAAAAAATGTTTTACTCGATTTTTTTAGCATTAAAATGGGAAAACTAACACCAGCACGATGGTCAACGCAGTCAGTTACCTTTGTCTAACATGTTTTTAAAGCAAGATAGCCGAAGCCCCTCACCAAAGAGGCTATTTCGAAATACTTATAACTCGGCTAGGAAGCAAAGTTGTTGAATATGCTTAGATACCATTCAAGAGAAGACAACGGGCTCTGCGTCTGCGAAACTAACCGAAAACACAAAAAAAGAAAATTTTGGTGAGAAAATCATGCTAATTTTTCTCAGCTTTTGTTCAGGATAGGTTGCAAATTAAAAGACCCACACCACATGGATGCGATACACTCAGTGGTTGGCTTGTAATTACTACTACTCTTATGCACAAAATTTCATTTTTTTTCTGTTGTACAAAAATTCTTGAAAACTATTTTCTTATACAGAAATATAACACGAATCTTGCACAGACATACAAATTGTTTAATTTAACCTTTTTCGATCAGCCGTTTTATAGCAAACCTGTAAACTTTGAGTCGGTTTCACAACAGTAACTAACCATTTTCTCTATCCAGAACACGTCTTTAGAAAGCCCATCTTTGAAAGGCTAATAACTTGATTTCATTAAACTTCCATAAGTTATCCAGCTGAAGTTTCAGTCTGAAGATTTCAAGTAAATAACATGTTTCATTTCTATTGAATCATATTCATATTTAACAAAATGAAACTCCGTCCCAGACCAAACCAAGAACTCGTCTTCCTCGGAAAGTGCGGATAAGGTCGGGATAAGGTAAAAAATCGTTCGATTCGAAAAATCGAAATTTTTCGTAACTTGAATACCAAGTCATATACATCGACAAACGCTCTGTCTCTTTGTCACTGGGAGCTTTTTTCTAAATGCCAATCGTAATGGGAAAATTGCTATGGAAAATTTGATTGAAAGCAAGAATGCTTTCGGAAAACTGGATTATGTGCAAAATCACAGTAAGCCTTTCCAAAAGCAAATACATATCCGGAATCTGCGACAAATTCTCTATCGACTACAAAAATAAAATTTCTACTTTTAGCTTTCGAAGTTGGAGAAAAAATATAAAACTTTTTTTCAAAAGGTGTCTTCAGTATAGTGCGTTTCCACTTT